GAAAAATGTTTGGTAACGCCCGTGCGAATTCGTGTGTTTCATTTTCTGTTTGTGCTGTTGGATCTGCAGACGATATTTTGAAATGAAATATATAGTTGAGTTTGCTTGATCCCCGGATGATAAGAGACTCGCATTTCCCGCGCCTGGCCAAGTGAAAATTTGGACAGAGAAGGATCCTGCATATGCGCTGAAAAAGGTTACAAACAGAATTCAATACAAACAAGAAGAATCTTTGAAAAGATTCTCGGACGAGGTAAAAGTGTTTTTACTTGCATAGGTTATTTCGAAGTTTTGTAATAGCATTTAATTTTTGGATCTGGGAAACTGCAAGAGATATGTTTCTAAATGGAACTGTCGTGTTTCCTTAAGTGTACCTTACACTTATTCATGTACACATTAATATATGCTTTATTAATATGTAAAAATATATGGAAATTTTAGAATTTAAATAAATTGAACACATCAATAATAATATTATATACATGTATCACGAACACAGAACATAATCTAGTGTACCTAAAAGTTCCGGATTTCTTTTATTTGGTGTCTTTCGGTATGCATGTTTGTATTGTTTAAAATACCAATAAAATTCCTGCTAATATTCGGTTCTTCCCTGTAAATTTTACAGGAAGTACAACCGTTCTCAGATGGACTTTGTCCCAAAACATTAGGTAGTGAAAAAGAAATAAAATGATTAAAAAGTTTCTGATATATACTGGTAGTATACTTACAAAGTAACTGTCATAATACTCATATTGGGTACATGTACGTCTGTTATCTGATATTTCATCTACTATTGGGTCAATTTTCAGAAGGAATAAAAGGCTACTTGTAATTTTCATTGGCTCGTCCATATCGCATATCCACCGAGCATTACCTTTGTTACACAAAAAGCAATATACATTTGCGTACTGATGAAATCCAATTGCACTGAAAACTGTCAGTGCATCTAAAAATGATAAAAAGAAAGACTTGTTTTTCTCAATACAATGAATATGCACAATTGTGTGCAACTTAACTGCAAACAAAATTGTCGTTTCTCATTATAAAAACTAAGGTCAAATTTAGAAACAATTTAAAACTTTTTCGCCTCTTTGTCAAAAAACTAACCTAGGTTATAGTTTATTGAATTTCATAACCGACCGTACCCGTTTAAATGGATAAATCTGACACCCCCAATAATAATAATGATAATAGCGGCTCATCAATGGGTCATCCTCCCGAGTAAGTCTCGAGAGGAGGTCACATATTCACTCCTGGTCGCACCCCCGCCAAAATAACAACCCCCCCCCCCCAAAAAAAAAAAAAAAATAAATTAAACAACAACAATCAAACCGCGCATTGCTTTATTCGTTTAACGAATTATAAACAGAACGGCACTGCAATATGACAAAATGTGTGGTTTTTTAACAATTTTAATTGATGAACATTTTGATTTATTTCAATGTATGGTTTATTTTCTATTTTTCCGTGTTGGGTTTTCTTTGGGGATTTATATTTTCTCTATTTTACTATATTTCAACCGCCTTTGTCTATTAAACAACAGAATTCTTCGTTGTTTTTCGCATATAATTTTATTCTACTCATTATACTCATTTAATATCATCAATATACTTTTTATTACACTTCCAGATTTTTTTCCGCCTTTTTGATTGGATATTGATCACCCGAAAGAAATGATATTACCGAGCCAGACGGGGTAATACACACACTAAATTTCCCCGTTTGGTACCCCATGTTCTAAACAACATGCTCTGTGGCGATGCGCGTACGGTTTGATTTTACGCGATGTAAATTCCGATTTACAAGCACTTTTTAACTGTCAAATGATAAATATTTACCAAAACAGAGTAATCATACTTATTCTCATCAGTATTGAAAACAAATATGACCTTGTGAAAGTTTGATATTAATTCCAAAAAAGTGCGTTTAATAGACTATTCCTTTTCTCTTGTTTACATTCGTTAGGTTCGAAAGAAAATACGTCATGTATTTATATGACGTCATGTAGTGAAGAAGGGGTACCCTAAAGTGAATCTTATTCGACGTTTCATTTGAAGTAGAAATGATTTATTTTAAAATCGTCTTAACTCGGCAGGGGAAGGGTTATAAAATTATAATTTTGGCTTTGGAGTGATATATGTATATTACCAGCCAAGATAAAAAAATTTAATATACCTAACGGCTCGGGTGATATCTGTATAATACATCAAGAACATAAAGCGTTTGGTGGTTTTTGTTGTCATCTATAAAAACGTTTGCTTTAATTGTTTTCTATATGAAAGCGTATTTGAAGTTTTTGGTTACTATATCATAATCTATTCTTAGACAATAAAGACCTGGCAAAGTTTTGTGTTTGTGTTAACTCAACTGATTATGTCACAAATGATCACCTTCAATGAGGAACATAAACCGTGGTAATAGTAAAACATAAAAAAATAACTTACTTCTATCGGTTTCGCACTTTACACTCAGTTCGTGGTATGCAGCACGAGTACCCTGAAAAACGGAAGTGTCGGCATTTGCACATGATGAAACTACTTGATTACTTTGGAAACAAACAGTTGATTTCCAACTCGTAATTTTTGGCCGCTTGAATGAAAGAGTGCACCTTGTCAACAAGATTTGCGTCAGATATGTTTGATTCATCGACATTTCAAATCCGTCAGTAAAGAAACTCTGTTTCATGCAAAACCAGTCAATTTCAATATTCCATGAAATCGTATCAATTTCACCAAAACACGCAGCGCAATGTCTATTCTTATATATGATGCTGCCATCCTTTGAAGATACAAATGGTGCATCCAAAATAGATTCTGGCCTTTGTTCTTCGCATTTCTTTCTTGTAAGGTTTCTTGGATAACCTTCCGGGCATTTGGAACGCACAAAATAATTTGGAAATCGGCGAGTTTCGGCGATTGTTTTTGCATATGAAACCGACGGTAAACAAACTTGCTTCGTAATGTGTTCAGGCTCACTGTCTTGTTTATCATGACAACATGTACCTTTTTCAAAGCAAATGTCTTCACACTCGCATGGTCGACAACAGGAGTCCGAAACTAAAGGATCATTTCTCTTTGAAGAACAACTGTTTACACCACCACAAACGTTCTCTACTGCAGACTCTATTTCATCTGAACTAATGTTCTTAATAAAACAGAGTGTGCAAATTATAATTTGTACAAAAACCATCATCATGATTTATCACTTATATTCGAGTCGATTTATTACTTCTCCAAAGATGATCCAATCTTCAGGTAAAACGATTTGCACTTGTGATGTAATTCAGACCTGCTGGGCAGTCCGGTGATTAACTAGTTAAAGCATACCATCTGTTCAAAGCACAAATGATAAAAAATGCATCGACGTGTTTATATACCACGCCTTATAGTTTCGAATGATAAAAACTCCTCCAAATGGGTTTCCGCTTGTGATCGTAAATTACATGTATATGAAGAATATACGTGTGGAAAACTTGTCAATATCATTATTACATTGGGAACTTTAATTAGGCTATCTACTAGTGTTTCTGTTACATTATTTGAACTTTGTGTAAACTCTGGCAAAAAGTATCATAAGGTCATAATAACTAATTTGAATCTATTTGTAATTTTGTAACAGATAAATTGTAATATGAGGTTTTAATACGAGTTATATCACACCTATTACCGCCCTTATTGTGAACGTGCGCTACTGACTAACACATCCTTTATTGTAACTTATACTATGTGTAATAAATTAATAATAAAGTGTCGTTACGCAATGCCGATAGCGCTGTTAATGATATTCAATGCTATTTCTGAAGTACAACTGATACAAAGAAGAGTTCGGATGTTACTTGGTTACATGTGGCTTAAGATAGTTCAAGACGTAAATTAAACTTCTCTTCAAAACCAGACCAGAAAACACATTTAATTCAAAGTTACATTAGATGTTTAATGTTGAAGGGGCATTTCATTATAGCACATGCTAGTATAAAAGTTACAGCTAATAAGTGTTGCAGGATCCCTTTTCAACTCACCAAGCACAAAAAATAAGTGTGAGCGTTTGGATCACACATCGTCGGGCGTACGTTAGTCGTCCGTTCTTTAAATGACACTTCCTCTTATTCCGGTTGGCCAGTGCTGTTGAAAAATCGAGAGATAATACGAGACTAGACTAGGGTTTCAAATGTAAGGAATTTTGCGTCGATTTTGAAGAAAAGGGGAACTTGATCTGTCTCCTGCTTTAGGAAGTTATACCTTCATTCTTTAAACGGGAATATGGTGAATATATACGGATTTGGGGGAGAAATGGACGTATACAGCTAACTGTAAGCTGTTGTATTCGGTGTAAGCTGTAAATGGTGTTGCGGTCAAAGAATACAGCTGACACGAAAAGTATTTATGAACTTGGCTGTAAACGGTGCAACAGAGCGGTATAGGGTCGATTTTCTGTCCCAAAATCGTACAATAAGGGGCCTGGAGACGTAAAGAATCTAATTGTGAATTATATGCTTATCATTTTTATCAAGATGGTGCAATTTATGATATTTCAAAAATTGTCTTTTATGAATGAAAAATGAGATTAGATATATAGTTTTTTAATAATCATTGCAAATGAATTGCACAAATAGTTGTTTAAGACTAAGTTTGTAATAGTAATAACTATAGAACATACTGTTTTTTTTGTTAAGTTTTACGTCGCACCATCACAATATATGTCATAAGGCAATTTCCCCGCTTTAATGGTGGAGGTAGACTTCAGGCGCCCTTCCGAGCATTATTTCAGACCCGAACGGGCAGTAGAACCGCCGAAGTTCCGTAAGCAAGCTGGATAGATTTATCACAAGGAAGAATCCAAAATCCTCGTTGAGATTCAAACCTTAAGCGGTAAGGGGCAAGTGCTTTGAAGTCAACAACCGTAACCACTCATCCACGGACACTCCCCACGTGCAATGGTGAGACATTCACTACGATGGTAAAGAAGACTCAATTTTATCAACAAACACAGGTTAAATATATATTTTTACAACCTTTTATTCAAAAATAATACTTATGATAAATGTCTTTTATAAAAACAGCAAATAAGTCTGTTGTAACTTTATCAAACAACACTCACTGCACAACTTTTCTAATATTGTCAACGTTAGCCAATTTTAAAACAAGAGCCCGGTTTGAGCCGGGTAATGCCCCCCGAATAGGTTTTGGACACAGGAAAGTACACCTCTTGTAGTTTCAGAGTTATGTCCCTGGAAAAAGTTCAAAGTGCAATAATTCCAAAATTAGGCAAGGCAGAGTTACTGTTCTTTGCAATGCACTTCTAATCAATTTGATCTATCAACCTACAAAGTTTCTTGATGATATCTCTTATGATTTCCGAGTTATGACCTAGACAACTTCAAAAAGTAAAAATAAACAAAGGGCAATAACTCCAGAATTAGGCAAGGCAGAGTTATGATTCTTGTGCACTGCAAATCTACCCATTGAGATATATCTACCTACAAAGTTTCATGTTGATATCTCTTATAGTTTTACAGCTATGCCCCGGACAAGATTTTTCTAAAAGGGGAGATAATTCAAAAATGAGGCTTACAAGAGTTCTTTTGCACTGCACCTCTACTCAATGAGATCTATCTACCTACAATGTTTCATCTTGATATCTCTTATAGTTTTAGAGTTATGTTCCGGACAAAGTTCAAAGTGTTAAAATTAACAAAGGGCAATAACTCCAAAATTAGGACAAAAAGAGTTATTGTTCTTATGCACTGCACATCTACCCATTGAGATCTTATCACCTACAAAGTTTCATGTTGATATCTCTTATAGTTTTAGAGTTATGCCCCGGACAAGATTTTTCTATAAGGGGAGATAATTCAAAAACCGGGCAAAATAGAGTTATGGTTCTTTGACAATGCACTCCCCCTCAATGCCCTCTACCACTGTATGAAGTTTCAACAAATTATCTCCAAGGGTTTTCAAGTTATGCAACGGACGGACAGACGGACAAGGCGCCGACTTTATGCTCCCCCAAAATTTTTCGGGGAGCATAAAAATCATCAGCACAAAACAACATTTACTTCTTAAAGCTTTGGTTATTACTGGGATGACTTTAATAATAATAAAAAACAGAGGTCGTAATAAAATAGATCACCAGTCCACAATGTACATGTATTTATTTCAATCATCAGTTTTAACTGTGAATGATAGTATATGAATGATGCAATTGTTTGTTTTAAAGGATAAAATATATAACTTAATATGAAATATTTTTTTATGAAATTTATTAACGGTAAAAATATTATATAGTTTCAATAATCCTACGGACGATTCTTGAAATAGATTTAACAGAGAATGTCCATGTAATATCAATATTATAGGCCGCAAGAATAGACGGACAAACGGACGCTACAAAGACTATATGTCTCCCTATTTCGGGGCGGGGGATAAAGAATGTGCAACAACGGTGCGTGCTCGCGTGCTATTATTCGTCCATGCATGTCTATGTCTCTATTCATATATATCTGTCGTCGCAGTTTTTTTATACAAGAATAATCATTTAAACTTCAATTACCTATTAACTAGTAATCTGCTGATTTTTTTAACTTTAAACATCAGATGCTTCCTTAAGTGAAAGCGAAACAAGGCGGACAATAAACACAAATAAAGCGAAAAGAGACTACTCGTATTCATAGCCGCTGAGTTGTTGCAATTAAATATGTTCAATATGCCCGTAAATTTAAATGAATCCAATCGTAACAAACCCTGCTTAAAACTGTATTTGTTAATCTCTTCCGTATTTTCACTGAGTGTGAGCTTTTTTGTTTGTATATGTCCTATAGTAGAAGTTACCAAAGAGCGCTATTAAAGATATAGCGTACAGAAACACCGCGATATTGAATCCCCTTGGAAAGTCACAATCTATCAGCAGGTTATAACCAGTGTGTAGCACAAACGCCAGAAACTGGGCCTGAAATAAAGAGTATATAACCTGATTAACAAAACATATTTTGATAGAGTTAAAATTTACACTCACATCGTCAACGCCACATGGTGGGAGAGCAGATTTCATGAAGTGCACAGCTTACATTATTTCAAGTAAAAGTGGGCCATTGAGTAAAACCACCGATAAAACACTCCCTCGCATGTAAGAAACCAAAGTGCGTGCTGGGATTCGAATCCACGGTGGTGTGGAGGAAGTGGCCTTAACCACCGAGTCTTTGCCATGGGCACGCCCCAAGTAAATTTGCATTAAACATGCACAGAAACCATTGGATTGTTGAATATAAAAAATTGTACAATATATCAAGTATAAATATCTTATAAATATACTTCATTTTCAAATTTCTTTAACAAATCTGCATAGATCTATGCGTGACTTTAAAATAACAGCTTTACTAGTTAATAAATTATTTCACTTATCGTTCTGTTACCTTTTATCTTTTATTGAAGATCGTTAATTATTCATTGAATTTAAAACACATAACTAAAAGTAGTAAATTAATAAATTTTCCACGGAAGAACAATAAAATAATATGAATAATATTATGTAATCATAGATAATAGCCCAATAAACGAAATGGTATGCAGTATTTTGAGCAACATCTGTGGTAGAAATGAAAACAGCGGTGTTTAAGAGTGCATTTAATTCTCCATCTAATTAGGTTTAAGATGTGGAAGCTTGAATTAATGTTTTTTAAAACGTGAGAAAATAATTACAATAACTGTACACATTTCTCAAAACTAGTAAAATTTTATGATGCTTTTTTTGTTTGTTTTTGGTCCTGTTAAGAATTCTAAGTTTCAAAAAACCAAAAAAAACCCCAACAAAACAACAACAAAAACGACAAACAAACAACAAAAGGACAACAATTAAAAGCACCAACAACGTGTTATTAATTCATTTTACTAGCAGAATCTGTGAAATTCTGTTTTCACTATAGACATTTGCACTTTGCTGATTGCTACAATCCGTGGAAAAATTGATTGATATTTGCTTTGTCTGAATACTGAATATAATATCACGTTTTTCGACTTTTCTTAAAAAGTAAAAAAAAAAACCGGAATAAGAAGATATGCTACATTTTGGTTTCCATTACGACATGTTTAGACATCTGAATTTCAAAGATTGTGTGAAGCAATCAAATCGTGGTGAATAACAAAATAAATCTGTGTATAGGAAAATATTTTACAAAAAATGTCATTTGTACAAAACTACTCGCATGCTTATACACACACTGTATGTTTTCATTTTTTTGTCAGTTTAACCCGCGTGAAACCAACGTAATGTTCCTTGTGACGTCCCTTGGCCTGTAACATATGCCGGGTCTAGGCATAAATACTGATGTTACTCATAAGTCTAGCTGAAAAACGGGGAGCTAATTCATTTTTTTTCATTAATATTTTACTTACCAATTGCATGCGAGTTAAGTATCTTTTCCACCAGAGGTACTTCTGCATGTGAGGCCCAAACGCTGCCAACCCGTAATACGCGTACATAAATATATGTACAAATGAATTGAGCATTGCTACAAAGAATGCTGTAAAGAATAAACACAAAAATATGACACGTATACAATATTCTCGAACACATAATTATGACATAATAGCACGCGCAAATTGTTTCTAAATATAGTAGAACATTTTCACACTTAATTTTTATACGACTATGTGCACGTCTAACGATTGAAATATTGTATTATGTTGATATGTCGTTTATGTTATTATTGTAAACCACTCATGCTGCCCTTTCCTTTGTTAATGTCCCTCGTCGAGCTGTGGGTTCGAGTCCCCGGTGAAAAATTTCGATTTTACCCAGGAGAAAACTACCTTACGGGCGGGTGGTCATTTGTTTAGCAGAACTAATGCACGAAGTCAACTTTGGTCTTCATCCACCAGAAAGGGGGACGGGTTGGTGTTTTGTTTTGTAGTTTACGCAGTAAGCAACTTTGAATTCACAAGAACACAGTTCAACCACCGCATCGTTCCTGGGCAGACTATCATGCCGTTTACAAGTACTTCACTTTTGCAAAGAATTGCAAATTACTTATGTACATGCCAGTGCCTATGTTCAGTGCGAATGGACGTAGGAAGGGATTCAGGGTCAGTCACAACGAAAATGACTTACACCGTCCGGGGATCCCTATTTACTGTTCTACCAATTGAGCTATTCGGATGGTGCTCAGTTTGATATTGGCATGAGATCTTAAAAGTGTCGGTGTAAATCTTACACCAACAAAAAAAAGTTTGATCACAAGATGCAAAATAACTTCCGACACCATGGTTTAAACCATACAGTACAATAAGAAATATCATATCTTAATAATAATCATTGCAGATGCATTCATATGTAAACTCACATTGTCCCCCTGCCACGTATTTAGCACCTAGATACCAGTTAATAATCATCGTACAATGGTGGTAGACATGTAGAAAAGATACTTGCTCGTTCTTTTTACGCAATATGAAAAACACCTGTCAAATAAAAATAGTACATGTCATTTCAAAAGCTCATTTATGAGATAAGATGAAAGTATGATTAAGATTAAGTTAAGTATCAAATTAAGTAAAACTTTGTCCTAAATGCAGTTGTTTTTGAAAGTGTAACAAAGTTATAGTCAATTATAACAAAACACTATGAAAAAAGTTCAAGGTCAAGGTCATTTATAAGTAAAGGTCACGGTCAACGTGGTCTCCTCTTTTCTAAATGACTGTCGTGTCCAAGTATAAAAAAGTTTTAAGAATAAAAAGTTTTATCCAATTATAGCAAAATAAAACAAATAACCTTGAAGGTCAAGGACATTTTAGATAAGCGGTAAACTTAAAGTCTAGTCCAAAGGGCCTTTGTGTCCAAAAATGAAGGCAACCAATTGCAATTAAGAAAAAAAAATGGCCAATGTTAAAGTTATTGGAAAAAAGGAGAAGTATTGTTACAGTCATGTCAGCGTTGTCATCCACAAATTTTAACATTGGTCATAACTTTTTAAGTTCTTGGTGTTTGTCTCATCTTCATACTAGGCCACAACAACCATTGGGACAAGTCCGTCAAGCAGACCAGTCTAACTTCGACCTTCAGTGATAAATGACCTTGACCTTTGTTATTTTTGAATGGATTCTCTTCAAACTTGAACATAATAATCTTTTAGGATGGACCTTTAAGTTAATCAGACAGACCATGGCCTTCACCCATAAATGACCTTGATATAGGAGATATAATTATTGAACTTTTCTCTTTTTTTTGGCTGTAACTAGCTATAGCGGCAATGGCACCTTGACTCGAACATTTCAGAAGGGTGACTACAAATAGTCTGTCAACTGGAAAACTTTGAGATCTACATTTTTGTTCTGCCACTATATATACTAATTTGGTGGATTATATAGTAGTGGTGACTTTCAAGTGTTCACTCTTGGTCACGGCAGTTAGCCACAGGGACTTTAAAAGAGCACAATTCAGGTACTGCATTCTTCCTGGGCATGCTGTCAAGCAGTTAACCAGTATTATTTGCCTACACACTCGCAAGGACGTTGTCCCTACGTTTACAAAGATATAAAAGAAATAACAAAAGTAGTTTTCATACCGTGTCTAAAAGTTCTATAACTTTTGAGAAGAAAAACCACCAGCATACAGCCGCCATCTGAAAATTCGTTAAAGAACAGAATAAACTAATAGCATTTAAGTTATTATAAATTTTCAACATTTATGGCAATAGAACGAGTTTTGTTCGTTTGGTTGGCGTTTTAGTCGTATCCACACTGTAAATATCATATATGGCATTTAAAAATAATGACGTGGGAAAATGTACTAAAAATAGATTACAAGAAATTCCAGGCTTTGGGCACCAAATAATACCGATAATAACATTTTCGCGCATGCGTGCTTGCTTATCTCATGCGTTACCTGCATAAGTAAATATTATCGGATTCCTTACGGTTCCGAATCAAACTAAATACGAATAAATTGATATACGTACCCGTACAGCTAGCGGATCGTTGGAATAATCAACAGGTTGACATTTCAAACTGTACCCTGATAGATAAGCTGACATGAAAAACTGTAATGAATGAAATAAACATATATATGATTACATATAAAATCAAACTTTACCTTCAATTTCATGTCTTAAAATGAAGAAGAAACAGGCACAGATATATTTCTTTATTTCCAAAGCAAACAAACAAATGCTACGCCCCAGACAACTAAGCGAGAATTCTGGACCCTCATGCTAATCAAAGGTAAATTGCGAATTTTGGTATCCTGTTTGCGAACATGGAAATTGTAATCATACTACAAATGTTTACATTCTTCATATATTTATATGTCGTCTGTTGTGAACTGCACTAATTGTTGTCTGTTGTTAAGTGCACTTACATGTCGTTTGTTGTTGGATGCATTTACAGGTCGTCTGTTTTGGGTACATTTACATGTCGTATGTTGTTAAGTGCACTTGCATGTCGTCTGCTGTTAAATGCACTTGCATGTCGTCTGCTGTAAAAGTGGAACTTGCATGTTGTATATTGTTTAGTGAACTTGCATGTCGTCTGTTGTTGGGTGCATTTACGTGTCGTCTGTTGTCGGGTGCGTTTACATGTTGTTTGGTTTAATGTAAAGCATATACCACTTACCTCATAGAACATATAAACAGACAATGCTACAAGACCAAGATTATAGGGTATGATGATCGCTTTCAAATTAACTGGAACCTTGTTCTGCATAAATTTTGGTCCCGCCCACACAATAAACAAGTACAGGAAGAAGATGAAAGTAATCGGCCATGGCGATAATAGCAACAACCAGTTCTCTGTCCTAGGATCTGTGATGAACAAAAAACAAAGTTACCTGATTGATAATGCACTGGCTATACTATAATGTTTACAAATCTTTGTAGCCCTAACATTACATTATAGACTGATTAGTTTTTAAAGTCTGTGATATGTATGACAAAGTTTATATAAAGATACTGGCATTCACTAATTCTGTATCTGCATCGGACATTTTTCAATAGCAATATGTAAATTGAAATTTTTTGTTTCGTCACACATTTTGTCCTGTAACGAGGCCCCGGTCGACAATAGAACCACTGTGAAATATTTAACATTAACCAATGGGTGAAATAAATTTTAACTATTTCAACTCAGTAAATATACAATGAAGTCTCTTCACATTTCAATACATTAAAATAAAAAATCGACAACTCATGATATTTAATTACCTACATGTACACAGTGGAAAAAACTTTGTATTATCTTATATTAAAATCATCATTGACTATTTATATCCCATTGACTGATATATAGTTCATCAAAACATAAATCTATACTTGCCAGACACTTCTTTTGACCACTCGTAGAGTGTATTCATCCGCTCTGATAAAGTAACCATATTTTATGTCTGAAATGTAATTGTACGATTACACTTTCAAATTGTAACTTTTGAGAACTTATCATGCTGCAGAGTCTATGTACATCTCAATGCGAATTTAAATAGTATTATTATTATTATATATTTAACTATCAATATTGGATTTCTTTTGCAAAATTAAAGGCCTTAAAAACAAGCATTTCTAGTCACATTTCTTCACCGTATTTTCAATGATTGTCAAAATGTTTAGTTACAAGTATTTGATAAAACGTACACAATTTCTCCGATATCATTTGAACGTTATTTATATTTTGAACAAATTTATTACATGTACGTTGTAAATTTTATGATAATTATGGTTCCATAATTCTGACAATGTCTTGTTTGTTTTTGTAGCTTTAAATAATCAATTAGTTAACGCTGATTCCAACACATTTCGGTCAGATCTCTTGGTAGTCGCTTTCCTGGATAACATACCAGTAATTACCAATATTTCCATAAGAGTGGTGGTCATCCATCACACCAATTAAAAATACGCATCTGTCACATGTTCACCAAAAAGGCATTGTATTTAGATATAAAAAATTTGGAATAATAAATCTATAGATCTACAAGACGTTGTCAGAACTTTCGGAAAAATATACATGTATTTCTAACAATTTGTTCTTTCATCTCCTGCTGCCTGTTACAGGATATTATTTACCAAACAATTTAAAAAAAATGTTGGACAGCGTGCTCGACTGTCCTGGGTACAAGAGCCTTAATAATGCTTAATAATGCAGAGTTATATGGGCATTGAAAGGTGACCACTTATTATGCTCTCAAATAAGACTATAAGTGAGTAAAGTTTCAAATAATTCATTCAGTAGATAGCAACTTTCAAGTTTAAGTTGGTTAATTACGATTACCTTACACCCATGCAATTATAGCTCTCTAGCTAAAAACGGGTACGGCTGAGCTATAGTTTTCGAAATTTAATATATAGCATTATAATGGATTAGGCACAAGTTAGGCCCTTCTCCGCTTTTATTTATTTAATCAAATAAATTTGCAGTATTAATTAATAATTATGCGTTTGTGCAAAACTTGAACTGTCAGTGGGGGGATAAATTACACGAGGCAAAATTCATGTATTACACTGTGACCGAATTAGCAGAACATTAATTCTTTTAAATGAGTAAGAATGGACGGACAGAAACATCTAAATTTTACATTGAGCCACAAGTCGCTTGTGTACAAAATGTTGATGTAATAAAATTGTGACATTTCATTTCAACTAACAATAATCAAACAAAATTAAAATAGTAACTATTCTTACCGGTGTTGTGGTGTTTCAAATCCCTGATAAAATTATCCACACATGAACTTTTATCATTGTTCAAACACGCTGCATAGCAGCTTATTATGTTGACATAGATATATCTTAACGTGTAGATAAACAGCATATGTGTATATTGTTGAATCTGTACGGTACATTAATAATTTGTTACTGTTACCCGTTTAAAAGCCTCTTGAATTGAAGCTGAATTAAGTTTTGTTTAATTAAAGCTGCATGCCTCCAGATGAGCCAATATTTTTCAAGAAAATCAAACTTGAGATAAATATACTAACTATACTATATAAAAGGTTTAAAGAAAAGTTAAAAGATTCAAAGAGTAATTTACATATAATGCGTGATTAATGACTGATTTTGCAGGATATATCGCCTTATTTCGGCTGTGATTGTACGTGAAGTTTGCAATGTGTAACTTAATTACTTTCTTTGTTACATTCACAATATTGTACCTACATTTAAAAACATTTTTAAATTTTCGTTAAAACAGGCATGAATCTGGGGACATGCTGCTTTAAATGTCACATATAATTTTATAATGCAATTTAATAACCCGTTTATTTGGCCTTCATGGTGAAACTTCATATAATTAAACCTGCAACTGAAAAAAAAAATCGACAAAACAAAACACGTCGTTTTTTTTTATAAATATATAATAAGGGGTAATTTTTTGTTGATCTTAGAATATTGCCACAATTGCGTATATCTGTCCAATGAATTGTGCGAGCTTAAATTTGATAATATTTTTCTTGGGTCAAAAAATGATATGTATATGAAATCCTAGTTTCTTTTACCCTAAATATAATTATGACTTATTATTAATTGCTTATTCTTCATTAAAGAAACTATGACAAAGGTGCCTAGTGCATGATTTGTTTCATAGACGTATGTTTGTATCCATTTATAACGCGCGTTAACTAATCCGCACAAAAAACAGCCTTACTGAAATGAGCGGGCTCAACACTTTCATCTATATATAGTAAACGTTATTGAAGATAGTACATTCAGATCCGGGTGAGTTACAACAAAGGTAATTTGTTCCTAAAAATGTTTAAATCTCGTTGCGATTGAGAATAATACGGTGTAGCGCCGATATATGTCCAAACGTCGAAAAATGTCCAAACGACGATAAATGTCCAAAAAATGACGATAAATGTCTCAATCGCCGATAAATGTCCAAAACTCCTTTAACGATAAATGTCCAAAAATTGACGAAAATGTCGCAACAAATTAGGTGCTCATAAATGTCCAAATCGG